GGCCCTAGAGGGCCTCGAACCTCTGACTAGTCTTACACAGTCTGCAACAGACCCTCAGTGAGGTGGATTGATACAATAGATACAAAAATGGACTCAAACATATCAGCACATGGTGCAGGACTGGGCAACCTTTCCTTCTGTTATATGTAAGGTAACCATGAGCGAGAGCTGACTCGACAATGAACAACAATGAGTTTACTCTGCAATAGTCTACTCAGTCCATGCATAAGATGGTGACTTGTCCTCTATAGCTGTGCCATCCAGATGCCAATTTTCCCAAGCTTTAATGCTCCAAGACACTTTCTAGTAGGGTTCTCTCCTTTAGCTCTTCATTCACTATCCCAAATAAAAGCATGTGTTTCTGTTTGCAGGAGCCCTCCTAGTCCTCTACCTCAAGAAGCTATGTATCTCAACTCATCGACCTCAGTGCCTCCACATTCTATGTATGAAAATGGTGAGGTTTCCTCAATGACCTGGGCCAAAATATGTAGAGCAAGTTAGAGAAAGTGTCCTGGATTGGTGTCTGCTAGCATAACCCAACCCTGTTGTGCCCCAGCCACCTTTGCAAATAAATGAGTCTTCTGTCTCCATAGCTGTGAAGGTGGATAGGTATGGAGTAAGTTGAATGGCAAGAAGGGGCTGTGTCATGATGTCTACGTTTTCTCTTTCAGTGAATGTTGTAAGTGGGGATGATGTTTATTCACTGGTGTACTCTACCCAGCAGGAACAGAAATCAACAGCAGGTGAGACATGGGGAGTAAATTTGTGTCTAACTTTGTCTATCATAGAAACATTGAAGAATCAACGGTTGTGCATAGCAGAACTACTGCTTCTGCTTTTGGAGCTGACTATGAGCATTGCAGACTCTTGGTGTGGCACTGTAGGATTAGCACTGGACTTTGAACCACAAGGTCAGTGGTTCAAAGCCACTAGTTGCTCCTAGGAAACCCTGTGCAGGGTGGCTATGTGTCAGAATTAACTTGACTGCACTTAACAACATGAGCTTTACAGTTCCTATTTGAAAACTAACCTTTGTTCTGGAAACTGCCTCTAGTTGATTCCAGTGCTAATGCTAATTTAGTCTATGTAACATCTCACTCCCCAGATGTATGGTAGCATCTGAGATGCTGGCTTCTGCCGGTCTTCCCTGCCTAACCCATCTCAACTGCCTAATTATTTTGCTGCTGCCCATACTATACATGGTGGGCTCAACAAATGTGAATGGCATGAAGATTCCTCCTATATCTGTTGTTGTTGTTAAGTGCCATTGAGTCAGTTCTGACCCATGGTGACCATGTATAGGGTTTCCAAGGAGCAGCTGGTGAGCTTGAACTGCTGACTTTGTAGTTCAAATGGCTCTGCAGTCTGGAGCATTAACCCACAGTGCCACAACTATATCTAGAAGGATTTAATTACTCCCCACTCCCAGACTTCCCATATTCCTCTGCATAGTAAGAAAATCATATTTGTAATGGGTAGAAAAGTAAGACAGAAAATATTAATGGAAATCAATCCATGGGAAACAGATGGGAGAGGAAGAAGCCTATATTAATTCTGCTTTAGACAAAGACTTTAAATATAAGTGGAGTCTTACTGTACTTATGGAATCCTGGTGTAGTCCTGTAGGATAAACACTGGGCCACAAGATCATTTTGAACTGCAAGGTTGCCAGTTCAAAACTCACTAGCTGCTCCTCGGAAACACTATAGAGAGTTGCTATGAGTCAGAACTGACTTGACAGCACTTAGCAACAACAACTGTACTTATATGTGTGTATATATATATATTTTTTTTTTTTTTAAGTTTTTATTGTGAATTGAGTGATAGTTTACATGGATTTTATGCTCACGTTTCATAGCAATGATTACAGTCTCCTCCGTGCATCATCATTCAACAGTATTTGCTTTTACTCCCTCTGTTTTTCTCTTTTTCTTTTTTTTGGGGGGAGGTGTACACAAAAACACTCAGGAATATATAATAATTTAAATAATCAAAGGCCACATTGCACAGGCCTGCCTCCTGGCCACCAGCACACAGCCTTTCTCTTTCCATGAGTCTAGAGTCCTCAGCTGCTCCCTCTCTCCATGTCCCCATCTCTGTCTCCATTTCTGGTGTCACTGCTTCTCTGGATAGGGTCCCGCATTCTGTGTGTGCGCTTCTCCCTTGATGGTCCTAGGGTCCTCTGTTTCTGAACTGTAAGATGAACTATTCCCCCTTTTGTTACAAAACTTCTACCTTTACAGTTGTGACAATTGCAATTAGTCATGATAACAATTATTCACTATTGAATTCTAAGAATCTTATCCCCATTGTACTTATATTTTTCTCCATTCTAGAACCCCCAAGGATGCTTACTGAGGATAAGGTGAGTTAAAGTCATGCTCTCTTTCCTCTGGACACTGGTTTTCAAACTTTTATAATGATAGTTACTTGGGAAAAGCCAAATATTTCATAATCTACCACTTCCCTTATTTCCCCACACAATGGGAGTAAAAATATTAGTTATAATAATAAATTGTCACTGTAGAAGGAACATTTTGGAGGTCAAAATGGACATTTAGCAATAGGCATATGAATGATTTGTAGTTGAACCATAGTGCATACCTAGTCTCAAAAGCCTATTTACTAGAAAACATGTATCGCAAAATACTGTTGAACCACATACAAAACACTGTGTCAAACAATCCATAGCAAACAAAATTAATGGTGAACACAACTATACTGATTAATATCATTAAAAATCAATGGTTTGAAAACCTTGAACAACTCACGACATCACTGATATTACAAAATTAGTTTCGAAAATAGCAAAATTCCAATTCTGTTCATGTGTGCAAAGACAATAGGTGCTTTGTAATTTTGTCTAGTGTAGTGTGACAACTAGATGTCGTCTCAGGACATGACTTAGTTTCCTAGCGTTGTTGTAATAGAAATACCACAAGCGAATGACTTTAAATAACAGAAATTCTAGTTCAGGAGGCTAGGAATCTGAATTCAGGGCATCATGTATCTGGGAAAGATCTCTCTCTCTTTTGGCTTTGGAGGAAGATCTTTGTCTCAGCCTCTATAGCCCCAGCATTCCGCAATTCCTTGGTGATAGTAAGAAAATCATACTTGTAATGGGTGACATCTTCCTTATTTATATTTTATCTGCTCTTTTTGTAACTCAGAAATGATTAGGTTTAGGGCATATTTTACACTGATATGCCTCATTATCATAACAAATGAAACCTTATTTTCAAATAGAATCCTACTTTGAATTACATCCACTGGTATAGGGGTTAGAATTGCAATACGTATTTTAATGGGACACAATTCAATCCATAAGACAGAATTCGAGTCCTTGGTAAACGCCAGTGATAGACTAAATTTAGTTTAAGTATACAAATTTCTGACATCCCTTAATAAATTACAACCCTGGACCTCTGCCTGATAATAAATAACCCATAAGAACAAAGGAAGGCCTTGCATGTTTGGGTTAGTGTGCAACTCACTAGGAGCACCTCTGTGACTCACCAGCACGATGCAGAGTCTTTGAGAATGCTGTCTTCAAGCAGGCTCTAATTTATGTGCTGTGTGGTGTGCCACGGTAGAATGCATCCAGGCTAATGGAGAAGAGAGCCAGTGCGAGGTATGCTGTATTGTCTCCTCTGCTCTAGTCCATCTTTGAAACTTTGCTTTCAGGTCTCCATCTATTCTAAGCTGAAGAAAGCACCTGTTACAGATGTGGACTATGAAAATGATATGTAAAGCTATGGCATATTCTACTCATTGAAAACCATCCAGGACCTCAAGTCTCAGATCCAGCGTGTGCTTCAGAGATTCTAAGGGAGCCAGCATTTTGGTATATCTCAATTAGGTGCTTTGCTCTAAGAGTTTATTCTTTCATCTACTGTGAAGTCATACAAGCCCCAAAGGGACCATCCAGGAGAACCAATGTGGACATGGGAGTGCAGGAGTGGGAAGGACTGTTATGGAAGCACTTGCTGTTGTTGATAAGTGCCATCAAGTTGGTTCCAACTCATAGCGACCTCGTATAGGGTTTCCGAGGAGCAGCTGGTGAATTTGAGCTGCCAACCTTGCAGTCAAACTGACTTTGTGGTCTAGTGCATTACCTTGCAGCACCATACCAGGAATCTAGTTTCTTTGGGACGGCTCAAAATATGCTCTTAATTCTTCACAGTAGGAACCATTGGTCTAAAAGGGTTTGAGCTCTCTGAGTAGAGAAGTAATGAATCCTGGAGTATAGGAACCCAGGTTAGCAGTTTTGTAGAATGGCTTAGAGCCTAATTTTGTCCAATCAGTTTCTTAGCACAGATAGTCCAGAACCCTAGCCCTGCCACTTATTTTATTGTTGTTGTTAGGTGCCATTTGAGTTGATTCCAACTCATAGCAACCCCATGGACAACAAAAATGGACACTGGCCAGGTCCTGTACCATCCTTATAATTGTTGAGTGGATTACGAGTTGGGCTGCTAACCACAAGGTCAGTAGTTCAAATCTACCACCTGATCCATGGGAGAAAGATGAGGCTTTCTGCTCGTGTAAAGATTTACAGCCTCAGAAAACTTATACAGGGTCGCTGTGAGTAGGAACCGACTCTACGGCACAAAACACCACTACCACCTTCAGGCTATCAAGACAGCTGTCCGTTTCCAATGACTTGTACCTCCTAGTAACATGTCCAATGTTGGCAGGACAAAATTTCACTATCCTGCTTTCAAAGTAACAGTTTGGCTATACTTCTTCCAAGACAGATTTGTTCTTTCTGCTGGCAGCACCAAAATCTGAATCATCAATTCTTTTCTGGCCTTCTTTATTTATTGTCCAGCTTTTGAATGCATATGAGATTACTGAAAATACCATGGCTTGGGTCAAATTAGCTTAGTTCTCAATGTGACATCTATGCTTTTTGACATTTAAAAGAGGTCTTTTGCAGTAGATTTGTCTGATGCCATTTATGCTAATTATTCTGCTTCTGCCTTATATATACTATTCAGTGCAGTTTGGGTCATGCTACCAAATGAAAACTAAAACAAATTTACACAGAGTTATTGTGGTTACACTCGATTTTAATCATATATTTTCCAGGTTGATCTAAATACTCAGATGTTTATGAGAAATAATCTGTATACATTTTACCACATACAAAATTCTGTGTCTGCCACAACCTCTAGAAAGTTTGTGAATGTATTTTTCTTCTTTCACTCATTAACTTGTTGAAAATATGTACAATATGGTTTGGAATATATATTTTCACTTTAAAAGAATCATATACTTACTCTTAAAAATGAAAACAATTTAGCAAAATATAAAGTAAAAACTTAAATCAGCCCTGTAATCTAATACTACAAAAGGTAGCCATTGTTAAAAAATTTAGTTCTTTTGTATTTTTGTATATATTTGTTGTTGCTATCAATGCCATTGAGTTGGTTCTGATCTATAGTGACCCTATACAGGTTTCTGAGGAGTGGCTGGTGAGCCTGAACCACCGACCTTGAGGTTCAAACTGACCTTGCAGTCCAGCGCATTAACACACAGCACCACACCACAACTCCTTAGTACATATGTTGTTGTTATGTGCCGTGGAGTTGATTCCGACTCATAGCGACCCTGTACAGGGTCTCCAAGGCTGTAAATCTTTACGGGAGCAGAAAGCCTCATCTTTCTCCTGTGGAACAGCTTGTAGTTTCGAACTGCTGACCTTAAGGTTTGCAGCCCAATTTGTAACTACTACACTACCAGAGCTCACATAAGTAAATATGTGGTTATGTAAAAATATGCCTATTTTAAAAAATAGCATGAAGTGTTTTCAGGCTGTATGTTGACTGTAGTATAATAAAAGGCTGTATAGTATTCTGTATATGCTAATATATTTTCTTTCCAGCACTGATGGACATTAACATGGTTTCCAAAGATTTTATATTATAAAACTGATGCTAAAAACAAACAAACAAAAAATTTTTGTATATTTTTGTGGATTTCCTTGAAGATTAAATTAGTAAATCTGGGATTGCTACATTTTAGGTTTTACATATTGGATGTGTTTTATTAAATACTTTTAAATTGCCCTTCAGTAAATTGTATCTATTAGCATATTCACCAACAGTGTATTGCTGCTGTTAAATGACATCAAGTCGGTTTTGACTCATAGCAACCCTGTATTGGGTTTCCAGGGAGCAGCTAATGTGCTTGAACCACTGACCTTGTGGTTAACATTCTATTGCTTATTCTATAGTGCCACAAGTGCAGAAGGGAATAGATGTATTGGGAAAGGATCATTGTTGTTTCCATTTAAATGTTTTCAATTACTAATGAAGTTAGGCATGTTTCCAGAAATTAATCTGTTGTTTTAATTTTTTTCCCAGAGTTTAGCTTTTGCCCATTTTTCTTTGAGTTCACTTCTGTATTGCTTTACATGACTCATTTATTGAGGCATAATTCACAGACAGTGAAAAGCACAAATTTTATGTGCATAGTTCCATTACTTTGACAAATTTACATCTCTTAGTGTTTTAAGTACCTAAGGAGCTCTGGTAGCACAGTGGTTACGAATCAGGATGCAAACTGCAAGGTCAGCAGTTGGAAACTACCAGCTGTACCGTGGGAGAAAGAGGAGGTTTTCTGCTCCTGTAAATATTTATAGCCTTGGAAACCCTGTGCAGGGTTGCTGTGAGTCAGAACTGACTCCATGGCACATAACAACCACAACATCATGATATAGAATAGTCCCATCTTCCCAGAAAGTTCCTTCATTCCCTCTTAAAATTTTTGTGTTTTAACTATTATGTTAAAGTTGGTGTCAAAATGGTGTAGCAGCACTATCATTTTACTTTCTCTAACTTCACAAGGTGGGAGAAAGAGAATCACATCAGCATCAGTCCAAGGCATGCCTCCACCCTCTAACTTTTACCGGTTCTGACAACAACCATCTCTTGCACGGCACCATCTACTTTTCTACTGGGTTCAATAAGACATTGCAATGGTCACATAGAACTCACATATAATACTCAGGATTCTGGGGTTTATTAGGGAAGTAACAAGTTACAGTTCAGCGTCAGGGATACTCAGGATAGAGTTGTTCAGTCAGGACTGCCTCCTCTCAGTAGTGCTTACAGGCACACCCAGGTCTCTTTGGCCTCTGCCCTGCCAGGCAAGTGCTACAAACTCTCTTAACTCTGCTGATTTAGTGCCCATTCCACCAGTAAGCCTCACCTGAAGGCACTCAGTTTTAGCCCAAGTCTTGGTAAACTTAATTAGCACTTCTCTCCCAACTCCCATTCCACCCTAGTAAGTTCCTGGAGGCAACCCCCTCCACCAACAAGCCGCCTGCTTGACTTCGTTCCACTTTTATGCTCTGTAAACTGGGAAGCTGGTCACTTGGTCTTGTCCAGGTCTCTTGATTCTGCTGCCACCATTTCTCTGCTACTGCCACTGCTCTCCATTACTTACCATCTTGCTGTTACATCTCTTGGTTTGATAAGAAATCTCGGGTTCCATAGACTGAACTCCATCCCTGGCTCTTCTTTCTTTGTTTTCTTTTTATTTAAAGCTTTTACTGTGATAGTTTACATGGGAGAACATCGGTATTATACTTATTGTTTCATTGCAATGATTACAATCTCCTCTGTGCATAATCATTTAACAGTATTTGCTTCTATTCTGTCTGTTTTTTTTAATTTTAATAAATGTTTTTTGTGAATTGTGTGATAGTTTACATGGGAGAACATTAGTTTTACATTCATTCTATCATACATCATTTCATTGCCATAGTTACCATCCCCTCCATGCATCATCACCCAACCAAAGGGTATACCCTACAAGCCTGCCCCCCACCCCCAATGGTCCTCAGAACACAGCCCCTTGCCCTCTCTGGATCTCAAGTCCCCAGCCACTCTATCTCTTCACGCCATCTTCTCTGCCTCCGTCTCAGGTCTCACTGCTTCTCTGGGTAGGGTCCTGCTCTCTGTTCTACTCCATTGATGGTCCCAGGGCCCTCTGCTCCTAGACTGAAAAGTTAATCACTCCCTTTCTTGCTATAAAATGTCCACCTTTACATTTCCAACCTTCACAATCAGTCCTGATAACAATTCTTCACTATTGCATCACAAGAGACCCATCCACATTTCATTTCATCAGCCCTTCCTGGACAGGCTGGATACTATTCACTGGAGACACTACCTTCCTCTGCGCCCTTTGGATCTGGGTTCCCTCTCGAAAGCTTGTAAGCCAGTCACTTCTTACCTTTGTATCCCTCCCCTCATTTTGGGTAGCCAATGTCCAAGTTGCCCATCCCTGTCCACTCTTTTTGTGGAGGGGGTGATATTCCCTCTGTTTTTTTGTTTGTTTGTTTTGTTTTGTTTTGTTTGATGTACGCAAAAACACTCAGAAAAATATAATCATTTAAGCAACCAAAGGGCACATTCTGCAAGGCTGCCTCCTGGCTGTCAGCACACAGCCTTTCACTTTCCGTGAATCTAGTTTCCTCAGCAGCTCTAGCTCTCCATGTCATCATCTCGCCTCCATCTCTGGTGTCATTGCTTTTCTGGATAGGGTCCCACATTCCACTCATGCTCTTCTCCCTTGATGGTTGTAGGGTCCTCTGTTCCTGGAACATAAAATTAACTACTCCCCCATTTATGTTACAAGAGTGCTACTTTTACAGTTGTGACAATCGCAATTAGTTATGATGGCTCTTCTTTCTTGATGGTAGTAATGAAATCTCTCCCCTTTCCACCTCTGTGATGGCT